CCCACAGTGACTCAGTAGTACCCGCCAGCTGCTCCTGCCTCGGAGTTGTTTCTGAAGAAACAAAGTGCCACCAGTCTTGGTCCTTCTTCTCATCCTTCCCAGGGCAGCCACTGAATTTGGTCAGTATCCAGTACACGGTCTCATATTTTATACATATATATTCATGAGCTACACACGTTGTGTTGTTGTTGTTTTTTTTTTTACAAGATTTTCATCAAGGATTTCCTATGTTCTCCCAGGTTTTTTTTTTTCTCTATCTTCTTTTCTGCCTTTCTTTAAAAGGGAGTACCAAAAATAATAACTAGAGAGTGAGCGTTTGTTGCAGTTTTTGCACTTTTGTCTGCTTTTAGCTCAAAACTAAGCAGAGCTTTGGCTGCTGTGTTGGTTTATCACTCCTAGGTTCACGTGTGCCCTGGTCACGTGGAAGCCCTGAGTGCAGGGATCCGTCTGGCACCGAGCACAGCTCCCAGCACCCCGCAGATGAGGCTGTGTTGGCCGAATGGTGCCCCCCCCCCTCCCGGCAGCAAGAGGAAGGCGCGGCTGCTGTGTGGCCAGCCCCCTCTCCCCGAGGCCCCCTTTCTCACGCTCTCTCCTTCCTTGCTTGTCCTCAGAGCAGCTGCAGGAGGATGCAGGTCTGGAAAACTGAAATGAAGTCACACTGGAGAGTTGGACACCTAGTCAGCTACACGAGCAGTCAGCCTGGGTGTTGCTCCTTCCTGCCAGCCCAGAAGGATATATGTTTAGGAAACTTAGCCAGAAAGAAATCTAGTGAAAATGAGCTATGAAACTTGGACATCCTGGAGAAATAATATTTACAGAGGAAGCTCTTGAGACGAACTCTCACCGGTGCAACAACCCTGGTGTTGGGGCCCAGGGCTGAGGGCTGAAGTCATGTGCTAAGCGGGCCTCTGGCTCTGGTTTACCTCTGTGAGGCCGCTTCGTGGCCATGGCGGGACTCCACAGATGGCAGAGTCAACTCTCTTGAGCCCATGGCAGGAGAACAGAAACGACGAGGATGTGAAAAGCTTTTTTAAAAACCGTCCTTGCTTACCTAAAAGACCCTGCCCTGTGGGATTCCTGCAGCACCTATAATGTGTCTGACTAAATTCCTACATACGTGCGTGGTAGGTGGAAGAAAGGCCCGGGCAACTCGCCTCATTCTATTCCGTGGCTACAAACGGGGCCCTGGGTGACCCGCCGTCTTCTACGTGTCTGGTCTTGGCGTGTACACAAGGGGGTCCACAAGGGACAGCTTGACTGGATTTGGACGAATCCATCCCATAACTGGAGCCCAAGAGGTTGTGTGAAAGGAGGAAGCAGCAGCACACATGGAGAACTCGGGCCCGGGTTCTGACCACAGCTTTGCCTCTTCCTAGAAGCATAACCCAGTATAGAACACACTCTCACCGATGTCCTCACCCGCAGACTGGAGTAGGCGCCGCCCTCCTTCAAGGAATGCTGTGAGGAGCAGATGAGATCACAACAGCACAGAGGAAATGGTCACACTAGTGCCCGCCCCTGCCCATGCAGTAGACCTCATGACACCATCACTACAGATAAGGGAGCGGAGGTAGACCGTCGGCCCAGGAACCACACAGCTAACACGCAGCACGGTAGAATCTGAACTCACACAGCTGTGTTTTGCAGTAGGTGCTCTTAACTCTTATGTGATTTATACCAAGATGGAAGCTAGCGTGATGCCCATACGTGGTAGGTGATCAACACAAGCTTGTCCCCTTGTACGTGGTCTCTCTTGAACATGCAGGATTATGCTGAGAAACTGATGGAAAAACTATGTGAAAGTTCTCTGGAAACCATAACATCCAATGAAAATATAAAACTTTTTTTTTAAATAGCTTTATTGAGATATGATTCACATACCATAAAATTTTTTTATTTTTTTTTTGAGTTGGAGTCTCACTCTGTCGCCCAGACTGGAGTGCATTGGCCGCTCCCGGCCACCACAGCCTCTACCTGCTGGGCTCCGGCGATCCTTCCACCTCAGCCTTCTAAGGAGCCAGAACTACAGGCATGCGCTACCACGCCCGGCTGATTTTTTTGATTTATTGTAGAGATGAGGTCTCACTGCCCAGGTGGGTCTCGAACCCGCAGGCTCAGGCAATCCCCTCACCTCAGCCTCCCAAAGGCGCGGGATTATAGGCTGAGCCACCGAGCCCGGCTCATACCATACTATTTACCCATTTAAAGTGTACAGTTCAGTGGGTCTTTTGCAACTTTTCTTAACAGAATTCTGCAACCATCTCCACCATCGCTAATAGAACATTAAGACAAACAATGCTGCATCCTCTAACCGGAACTCCCCTGTCTCCACCCCACCCAGGCCCTGCCTACCACCAATCTAGCTGCTGTCTTTATAATTTACCTGTTCTGGACCTTTCTTTGGAAAGCTCTGAGGTCCTTTGTGATGCTTTTTTTCTCTTAGCACCATGTTTTCAAGATTCATCTGTGTTGTGGCTTGCCTCCGAACTTTGTTCCCTTTCATTGCCAAATAGTATTCTATTGTAGGCACTATTGTTGAGAAACGGATCTACCTGCTTAGTCGACTGGGAGGGCAGGAAAGAACTTGACAGAGACTGAACCCAAACACTCCGCATTTCACCGACGAGGAGGCCGTGGCCAAGCAGGGCTAGCGGCCTTGCCAAGGTCTCCCTGGTGGATGGGAGAGCCCGGCCTTGAGCCTCACAACTCTCCACATTGCTGGGAACATGAGTCGGAGCGCACAGCTCATTCATGCGGGGCCAGCGGAATCATCTCTGCCAGTATTAGCCTGACGCTCTTCATTCAACAAACACACACGGACTGGCCCCTTGGGGCAGGACACTGAGGACCCAAGGGGCAACGGGAAAGACAAGATCCCTGCCCTTCCTCTCAGAGTGAATGTTCTTTTGGGGAGGCAGAATGGATGAGTGAACTCCTAAATAAGAAAAGAATTGTGTTAAGTGGCATGCAAGAGACCCACAAGGTGCTGAGAGGAGGGTGATGGGGGGCTAGGGTGGCACTGGCGGGGCAGTGGGTGGGGGTGCAAGGACCCACTGCACAGTGCCACCCAGGGTGTCGGGAAAGGCCTCTCTGAGGACATTCAGTCTGAGGTCTGGAGGAGGAGAGCCAGCCTTGTGAGTATCTGGAGGAAGAAGATCCCAGACGGAGGCTTAGCACATTCGCACATGCAAAGGTCCTGGAAAAAAGCAGGGGAAAAGCTGGTGTGTTGAAGGAGTTAACCGGCTGAGCAAAGCAACTGGGCAAGCATGGGATTTAAGGCTACAGAGGGCAGGACCCAGGTCACCACGGAGGCCCTTGGCCTGTTTTCTCACAACTGCCCTGTCAGAGGTAACCCAAAGTAGGAGGACCTGTGGGAAAGCAGATCAGTGGCTTCTGGTTCCCTTCCTGTGAACGGCATGAATTCCACCTACCACAGGAAACTAGCGGAAGTCCTGAGTCTCCATCACAGACTTCCAAGGGCAAGAGATCTGCATCTTCAGGAAGAATGATGTAACTGTGTGTCACCCTTGGGATGAATCCAGAGATAAGGAAAACAGAGAGAAGGAAGAAAATACAGGCATATTAATAGCCGCATGGTAAATGACTGTGGTACAGCCACAGAATGAAACACAATTCAACTGGTAGTAAGAATGAAGTTAACTCTTCCAGAACTGATTGAAAGATCTCCAACTAGTGGTTAAGCAAAAAAAAAAAAAAAAAAAAAAAAAGCAAGGTGTAGAACTGTGTGTATAGTATGTTACCATTTGTGTTAAAAAAAAAATAATAGGAATTTGGCAATAGATGCATGCAGTCTTTCTAGAAGGATACACACACACACACCGTGTCTAGGAGGGGTTTCTTTGTTTCTGTACCCCCGCCTCCCCCCACTGCCCAGGAGAATGCAAACGTATACTCTGGAGGAAAGGCAAGGGTCTTTTCTGCTGGGAGAACACTGGGAAGTTGGTCAGGGGGTGGGAGGGGATCTTTTCACTGTCTCCTCCGATGTTGTTTCCAAGTTTGAAATATGTGAGTGTATTTCCTATTCAAAGCAGTTAAATTAAAAATGAAAACAAAGAAGAGATCGTGAAGGCGCTGGATCCGCCAAGCCCTGCGTTCCACCCTCTTCTGCCCTGTGACCTCTGATAAGTTGACCCTTAGAGACGTGTCCTAGTCCTCCTAGAGACGTGTCACCCCCTCACTGTGAGAGCCAGAACTGTCTCCAGGCATGGCCAACAGTCCCCTAGAACAAAATCACCCTGAGCTGAGAGTCAGTGTTCTCATCACAGCATTTCCAGGTCATCGCCTCATTCTCCAATAGGAACCTGGGGGTTCCCCTCTGTCTTATCTTATCCTAGTTGGGCTGCCACCGAGATTGAGGGTTGACTGAGCCTGCACTGCAGGGTGAGTTCCCTGAGTTTCATACGTGGCAACCCATCCTAACTCTCTGGAAACCTTTGTCTCTGGGAAAATCACAATCTCAGACTTTAAAAATTAACAATCTGTTGACAGGAGTCTCTCCCATGACTGGAAGGCCTAGACATGAAAAAGCCAGCCCCCAGCAGGCAAGACTAAAGCGGGACACATGCAGGCTGGCCTGTTGCCTCCTTCAGGGCACCCCAAGATTGCTGGGATGAGGGTACCCAGGGACACAAAGGCCACTTTCTCCTCTGATTATTTTGCTCCAGGTGACGGAAAGAGGAAGGAGCAAAGGCCCGTGAGGGTGCACGGGGGTCACGCTGTAACCGGCAGGGTGGCCAGGTGGGCCGGCCAGCCTGAGCGCTCCTTCCTCTCTCAAGAACACGACTCCCAATGGACAGCTTTCTTTGGAGGCCAAAGAAAAAGGAGCTGTACTTCAATGTTTTGATTAAATGGAGGCTCATCCCTGAGGGCCCTGCGAAGTGAATGAGCAGAATTTTCCATGGCCAACTGTCCTGGCTGCGGGGCCCTAGCGGCAAAAGCACGGTGTTTATTTACTTTTGCTCGTGTTATTTTTATTCCAGTTCAGCTGCAGCTCAGCGCGGAAAGCGTGGGGGAGGTGTATATAAAGAGTACCGAGACCGGCCAGTACTTGGCCATGGACACCGACGGGCTTTTGTACGGCTCAGTAAGTACGAGGCGGACACGCTTCCAGACGCGGCCAAGGTTTGAGGTTGCCAGAAATCTTGTTACCTCGAGTGACGCAAACTATAAAGCAACAATTAGTCTCTGTTTGTTATTTTTTCCAGTAGGACTCCCACCCTCGCCCTGCCTTATTTTAGGCACAAACATAAAAGAGTTTCTTGTGGTATTCTCTCGAAATACTCAAACGTATTATCATATAAATGTAGAGGAAACATTGATTTAGTTTTGGTTAACTCCTCAGTAGCTCGGGAATACCTAATCCCACTTCATTCATTCATTCATACCCAAAATGTTTATTGAGTACCTACTATGTGCTACCAGTGTCTTTTCATGCTTTTTACAAAAATTGCAGAGCCTGGATTTTCTTAGTTTATGTGTCCTGCTTAAAACTTTGAAAATTGCCAGGTGCTGTGGCTCACACCTGTAGTCCCAGCACTTTGGGAGGCTGAGGTGAGAGGACTGCCTGAGCCCATGGGTTCGAGAATATCCTGGGCAACTTGGCGAGACCTCATCTCTACAATAAATAAAAAAATTAGCCAGCTGGGCTCGGTGGCTCAGCCTGTAATCCCAATGCTTTGGGAGGCTGAGATGAGTGGATTGCCTGAGCCTGCGGGTTCGAGACCCGCCTGGGCAACTTGGCGAGACCTCATCTCTACAATAAATTAAAAAATCAGCCGGGCATGGTAGCGCGCACCTGTAATTCTGGCTACTTGGAAGGCTGAGGTGGAAGGATCGCCGGAGCCCAGCAGGTCGAGGCTGCGGTGGCCGGGAGCGGCCGCTGCACTCCAGTCTGGGTGATAGATTGA